CATCCTTGTCGAAACGGGTGTGGAGCGATATGGAACCGACCTTGGGTGGATCCTTTTGTTCTTCTATCTTAACAGGTTGTGGTTCAGGTCGAGCAATAATAGTTCTCTTGGCGGGTCGCACCCCGATGTCGACTGTACTTTGTCCCTTAGAAGCCGCGTCGAAACATCTTCGAGCAGCTGAGATATCCCCGTGGATGGTGGCGACGCGTCCCCTCTTTGTATAGAATTTCATCTTTAGATGGACAGTGGAGGGTACAACGGTCAATTTGGCCGGCGATGGTCTCCCTAGGATGCAGTTGTAGTGAGACGGGCAATCGATGACCAGAAATCGCACCTTGATCTATTGGGATGCGGTTTCTTTCCCGAAGGTGACGAAAAGATCAACGTATGGTCTGGAGGTCGAGCCATTGAAGCCTTGTAGGTCGGACCCTGCGTATGGTGAAAGGTGGGTGTCGTCGAGTTGTAAGGTTCAGAAAAGATGGTTGTACATAACATCGACAGAACTTCCCTCATTGACCAAGACGTAGTGAATGTCGAAGTTAGCTATTTTTACCCTCACCAACAGAGGGATGCTTGAGTTAAGGGCCCCTCTAGGTAACTCCTCGAGGTAGAAAGTGATTGGTTCTTATCTGTCCTTGACCTTCTCGAATGTCACTGCTTGAGTTGGGGCAGCGTCGATGGAGATTTCGTTGCAACCCCTGCCGGTTATAACCATGGCAAAGGGGAATTTCTCCCACCTACTGTGCGTGGACAAAGGTTCTTCCTCGTATCTGTCGGGGACGTAGAAGTCCTTCTGCCTTGTATCAGAGAAAGCTATCTAGACGGAGGCCGTCTCATCCAATGGTCGGGTGTCCTTCTCGACCTCCTTTGTCTCGCAGACATCTCGACGAGGGGCGTCATTGCATCAGTATTGCCCGAGTCTGCCACCCTTGATAAGGGTTTTGATGGCGTCTTTAAGATGGGCACAGTCTTCAGTCAGGTGCCCGTGACTTTGATAGTACTGATACTATTTGCTCATGTCATCCCCGGACTTCGCAGGAGAAGATCGAGAAGGTTTGACGCCTCCGTCCTTGAAGTCAGTATTAGCACACTCCCCCAAGATGCGCTCGCGGGAAGCTATCAACGGAATGTATTCGGTGAATCACCATGCGGGTCCCCTGTGCTCGTAGGGATCCCGTGGTTTATCATCCCTTTTCTTCTCGCCCGTTCGTCGAGGGGGGCCTGCGTCCTGGTGTCGTAGGATATTGGTCGATCCATGATTCCTTGGGTCGCGAGCTTTCTTGGTCGTTTCCCTATCCTCATAGTCCATATAGGCCCTAGCTTTTTCGAGGAGAGCATCGAAAGTCTGGGGTGGTTCGATGCCGACGACCTTCCTGAACTTTGTGCCAGGGAGGATTCCTCTCTCGAGCAAATATCACTTCATGTGATCGATGCACGGAACCTGAATGGCCCCGCGGTTGAACCGATCGATGTATTCCCTGAGGGTCTCATCGCTTCTTTGGACGATAGCCTCAATGGCAGCCTCAGTCTTTGGGTGTCGACAAGACACTTTAAAAGAGATGATGAACTGACTCTTTAGATTTCTCCAGGAGGTGAATGACCATGGGGGTATTTTTATACCTTTCCATTGCAGTTTTCCTCAAGGTCGTGGGGAATAATTGGCATTTGATCGGTCCCGCAATGTTGTGATAGTGGAGCATTGCCTAGAACACGTCGATGTGGTCGACAGGGTCAGCAATGTCATTATATTCCTTTAGTTGGGGAGGCTTCTCCATTCCCCTGGGAATGGACGCCTCCATGATTGCTTGTGATAAGGGACCGCGAGGGACATCTTCGTCGCTCCTGTAAGGGGAGTGGGAAGGAGACCATTTGTAGTGGCGGTCGTAGTGATGTCCTTGGCTTTGGGGAGGATCCCTTGGTCGAGGATGCGCTTCTACGTTGCCCCTGTTTCGCGTCTCCCTGTAGCCTCGGGAATTGTTCTATCCAAAGCAGGGCGTTACCCAATTCGTCGGAGAGAGAGGCTTTGCGACTTGTCCTATCTGTGTCTCCACGGGAGAGATTGAAGATGGTCTTCATTCTGACGAGGAGGTGGAGTGTCAGGTCTTCTGTATCTTCTGAGGGCTCGATGAGAGTCCCCGAGCACCCTTAGTCGCTCACCTTGCGAGAAGATCAAGTAATTTGTCTGGTTAATGGCCGCGAATAGAGCCCTGGTTGTGGCATCAGCGCCCGCAGGGACGGGGACCTCCTGGAAAATGTTCGATTCATAATTTTGGGGCGGGTGGGTGCCCTCGTATGGTCGAGAGCATGATGATGAAGAAGTGGTCATGCCGTCTTTATAATTCTGCACGAGACCAGCCATGTCGACGTCGTTCCCATTGTTGTTGTTGTTGTCGACGAGATGTGTGTCTAGGTTGTTGTTGGCAGCTGGGTCGGTCATGAAAATCAAAAGAGTTTGAAATTTTTCTTTAGTCTTGGGTTAATGTAAGACGGGAAAGCTTTTTTCTCACAGACGGCGCCACTGATCGTACCTGACCAGAATGGATCATCAAAGCCTTCGAGCTGTGAGTTGAGCAGTAACCGGAAGTGAGTTGGGGGAGGGAGGAATACCTGCCAGACACTCTGATGCCAAAGTAAGGTTCAGAGTAGTGCGAGCAAGTATGGGTGTGAGTATGAAAGAGTGAATACATATCCCTCTCAAGTGAGAGGTTATTTATAGCTCTCAGCACTGTGTCAAGGTCCCCATCGTTGGACTGGGAAAACATACCCAAAATGGAGACTTCCAGGTCCTACGTGCGTAGTGGGGCCATCACGTGGTCCCTAATCTAGATGGACTCCCTCGAATAGTCAGGAGGATATGGATGCGATCTTTTCGGAACCAAGAGGACTCTGTGATATTCGGGGGTGTGGCGAGTCAACCCTACGAGAGGGATGTTCGTGATGTCCTTCTGTCGTCGTAGGCCTTCCCGCCAACTATGAGGTCATCCGGGGGCTTATCCTAGTCGACGATAAGAGTGGAAGATGCCCGCAAGGTCCTCCTGATCGGCGACGAGCCTCCTCGCGACTACTGGACTTAACCCCGTACGGTGAAGCTACGTTTTCCCAAAAGATGAGATTGTTGTCTGACATAGTTGAGGGCAAGCTCGGTCAGCAGGCCTCCTCGAACAGCATAGTTGGATTGAGCCTCGTATGAAGTTGGATTAAGTGCAGGCCCAGTCCAAAACAAATATTATTAATATAATTATAATTTATTTGAAACACCTCTCCTTTCCTCCAAACTCCATAAATTAGAAGAAAAAAAAGTAGCTTATGAGAGATTTTAGTCCCTTCCATTTATAACCATTATAATGGACAATTCCACATGGACCGACCTACCAAGCTCGATAATTCATAAATCCTAAGCCTTAAAATTAATCTGAAGTCCGTGTAGGAACTAATTCATGTAGTAAATTTTAAATCCATACTACAATAAAGTATTTTTGACTCAACCCTATAAAACTCAAAGTTCGACATGGCATGTCCATTTAAAATCGAGTAGTCAGTTTTCATAGCTCTGCCTCCACTTACCTTTTCTCTCCCACCTACAAATTAAACCAAAATCATATAATGTTAATATTTTCTCCCTTCCTTTTGCCTCCACTCCATTAATCCCCAAACAAATGGACCCTCGGATTCTTATAGTGTAAGGTGTAAACTCAGGAAAAGTGGAGCATATTTGTATTTGGTCTTTTCAATAATTGACTTTATTGGCAAGGATAATAGGGGACAACAAAGTTGTCTTAACAATGATTTTGATGAGGGAATCTCAATGATCCATACTAATCAAAATTCAAATATCCTTTCACTTCTTTGGTTTGCAATCATAGTTCTACTTCTACGCATTTGGGGTTATAAAAGAAAAACACTTTGGAAAATCTCAGACAAAAAATAATGGGACCGTTAGACAAATGTCACATCGAACTAGGAAATGGCCATTCAGTAGACCATATTCGATAAAAATCTTGTAAAATCATTTGTTTCCAGTCCTTACATCCACACAAAAATGGTGAGAATCACTTCTCTTTCATTTTCACTCACAATCACAACTAGCCTGAAAGAAACTAGTGATATTATTTTATCAGTACCCTTCCAAGTAATAAAAGAGGAAATTTGTAAGAAAACAAACAAATATAAAACAAACTCTAAACTTTCTAAAGTTTACTTTTTCTTTTCATTGAATAATTAATAAATATTGACTAAATATAAACTTAATACATAATTTATTTAATGAATTTTAAAAAAAAAATTGTAATACCAGATATAATAGGTGTGATTCTCTATATTTACGGCACATCAAGCTATCTTAAAAAATTCTTTAAAATATAAGAATAGAAAAACTGTATTCTTATATTTGATTTTTTCAAATTTTATTTCTTGGTACAAAAGATATAAACATTGTTTTGTTCTCAAAAAAAAAAAATTGGTGAAAAAAGTTTTTATAGGTGTTGGAGTAATTCGTGTAACTACCAATAAATCTCTCTTTTGAAATAACATATGGTAATATTATAAAGTTTAACCAAACATCTTTAAAAAAAATACTTAAGACTAAAACTCACACTCTTAGATTTTAAAGAAAGTTATTTTCAATAATGAATTTAGAAGAGACTTAAAACAAACACCGGTTTAGTATGAAATGACAACCACTTCCCTTAGCTTTTTGGTTTTATTCGCACATCTTTGATATGCTGAACTTAGATTGGTAGAACGTGATGAATAATACCTGGTTCTGGTGAATTGATTGAGTTAGTTAGGTTTATATTAGCTTTAATAATTTGACTTTTGTAAGTATTTTGAGAGTGAGATAGATACAAAAACAATTTTAATTTGAACTAAGCTCATACAACTATTGTACGAGAAAAGAATCCCAAAAAGGGTATGTTCTAGGAGAGTCAGATATTAGGACGCGTGAATTTGGTAGAAGAAAGACATTCGACACTATTATTTAATCTGCCAAATGCTTGATACTAATCTTCTCCTTTGCATGACTTACGTTTTTGGGATATCACAAGCAAAGATGTTTCCTGAAACCAACAATATCAATCAACTTTAGGCACAAGACAGCAAATTAACGCCAAGATAAGCTGAAGTTGGAGTGGTGTGAACGGCCAAACAGGCAAAAGTTAGAAGAAATTCATGACTAATTATCGTTAGGCTTCAAAAATGACATGTTTGCTTATAATCACAGTATTTGGTTCATCAGGTTAATATGCTTGAACACCCATGTTAGAAAAGAAGAAAAGGAATCTAATTATGGATGAAGTAGTTTATAATCAAGATTAAAATAATTAAAATTCCAGCACAAACCTTTGTTCCTGCTACGATGGCATTGTACAAAGGATGAGCAGCACATGACAAAACTTCACCAGTTAAAGGAATGAACCTATTGTGATTCTTTTGTTTTGAAAATTCTGGTACATCCTCCCTATAAAGAAGAAAACTTGCGAGGTAGCGAGAGAGAAAATTTGCAACACGTTTTGAGAACAAAATTCAGGCATATAAATGTACACCTGGTTAAATTGTGTGCTGTACTCTAGATTTCACCATCTATGTACTTTCATGGAAGTTAGGTGTAAGTTTATATGCTCTAACAGTTGGAATGACTTACTTGTAATCCACGTGACAAGGTGAGCTGATACTCGGATAGAAATCTAACATATGAAGGCCGCGATTTAATGGTGACCCTGCCAAATAGATCTGCACTAGGTTGACACAGTCATTTTATGTATCGGTAGAAATAAGAGAGTAATGTTAAAGATGTCTTATAAGTGGTGGCAACTTGTATGTTTTAAAATAAGGGCATGAGTAATGAGAACCAAATAATTGAAATTAACATTGTCACAAGCGCTGTATAAGTAGAAACTGAATAACTTGCCAACATGACTAAATGTTATTTTGCAGAGAACATAAAGATAAAGAAGGTAAATTCCACTAATAAAGGTTCCTTACCGAACATGTCGATAACCATGAAGGTTTTCTTAAATCCATTTGATCAAGGGAAGCATACGAATCATTTCTAACAAAGAATAAACAGTACAAAAAATAGTTAGATGTATTCCACAAAGCCTTTTCGCAAATATCAACGAAGCCAATCTAGATGTGACAACTAACAAACTTACAACCAAGCTGGAGGTGGGCAATGAATATGTGTAACTTTGAAATTATTAATATCCAAAATACCCGACCTACAATGATATTAAAGCAACAAAATTTAGCATGATGGATTAACATAGGTAAGGAATCATTTATTTGACACGTAAAAATCAATAAAAAGCAAATAAATGTCTTAGATGTACTCAACCACTATTAAGTATTGACATCAAAAGAGCATTGTTTAATGGTAGCCATCATCCAACATTGTCTCATGTGACATTACAGGTCATATAATTATTTGAAAAAACTTTACTTTTTCAAGCTAGAATGGTACTTTTCAATCACACATAAAACATTTATCTATTTCATCCATCATGATCGAATACTATGTTTGACACCTCCCTCTATGTCCTTGCCATTTTGGATGATGGACTTATGGCACTTGAAATGTAAGAACTATGGTATTTTATGTCTCCGCGTTTGTATCTCAAAGCTATAATTTGTCTCCAACTAAACTCGAATTCTATGTAGTCTGATTTGTTACTACTTTGATGAAAACCATGTGCTTCCAAGGTTTTCTCTATATCTTACTTCCACTTATTTTTTTCCATGAACTCTCCAACTAACAATATATCGTCCACATTCTAGAGTAAGCATATACCATGGACAAAGTCTCTAAGATATGTTTTTGCAAGAACATCAAAAACATATATAAAAATATAAGTCTCAAAGTTGAGCTGTGGTGCAAGCCTATAGCTTGAAAAAAGAATATAAGCAACCAAACTCCTTCTCTAGAAACCTTCAAAAACCTATCTAGGTACTCTATCACAAGTCTTCTATAAGTTGATGAAAATCATAATTAGATTTTCTTGATATCTGCCAGTCTTCTTAAAGGGACTTGGGTATTATGGGGTGCAAGTCCCATATCAAGTAGCTAACTGGCTTGGTTCTTCCACCTTGATAGCTAGCTCAGAAGGGAGGATTATCCAAATACTTACGTACTTATCAATTGGTTACGGAGTTGGTCGTTGGTAGCTCGAAAAAAAGTTACCTACAAAGGGTTTAACTGAAAAGGCTGAATAAAGTGTTATAAAATGCAGGGATGACAATTCTCAAAGGTGGTGTTGTGAAATGGAATTGGGTATTATGGGGATGATCAACAAGTCCCAAATTGGGTAGTATAGGATACTCATTATTCAGTGAAATATTTAAGTGCTTTTAAGGGAGGGTTCTTCGTGAGATTAGATACTTCTCAGCTTCATGGAGAACACATTAGCTTTCATTTTTTATTTCTTCAACATAAACCTAAAATGATTTTTTTTAATATCGGTGTCTAATTCTAATCTCTACTTAATTACTCTCAAAGTTTCATGACATGACTCGAAAGTTTAATCACATAAATGTGTGTAGTTTTATAAGTTACATTTGTTCTAAAGGATCGGAACTGAAGCACTCCATTCTTCTGGCATGCTCTTACTCCTTATAATCTCATTGAAAAAATTTGCAAACTATCCTATGCCTTTCTCTCTTGGCCTCTTATGTACCATTATTTCCATCATAGAAACAATTTATTCCAAGATTAAGAAAATATAAGGTCCATCAAAAGCAATTTATCATTAGTAAGTTATGCAATTGGCATCTTACTTATAGACTATGTTTAAAAGTTGTGAGGGAAAGAGAGGGGGAGGATTGGGAGGAGGGGGAGGGGAGAGAAATCCCTCACTGATGGGGAAATTTTATTTAGAGAGAGGAAGGCCACCGACTAATATTTTCCTTCTTTAGTGAGTATTACAGAAAGAGGGAAAGGAGTTGAACAAACATTAAATCAAAACCCTTTGAAGTTGTTGATATTTATAAATATAGTGTTAAAGAATATTTGTATATAGAATAGTCTCACGTCGACAATATCATGTAATTAGTTAATCTCTCTATATAATAAAGTCTCCGTCGTATTTTTCAATACACGGTTTATTCAAATATCTCTTAGTCTCTCGCATTTTAACATGGTATCCAGAGTCAACTGAGAGACAACCCTTCACTGTATTTTACCCGGTTGATTCACTGTCTTTCAGTGAGAAATTTTTGGCAAACCGTGTCATAACTTCGATTTGCCTTCCATACACTGTCGTGACTTATACTGGCATCAGTTTTCGAATTTCTCCAGTCACTGCCGTCGCCATTTGCCGCTGCCACTACTGTTTCTAGCGACCTTCCGACAAACTAATCTTACCGGCAGAAACACCACCTCTGATCCGTCCGATCCCGACGATTTTTCCACCGCCCCACTTGCCACCGTACAACTATTCCAGATCCGGCCTCAGATTTTATTTTTCACACGGAAAAGTGTGATCCAGTTCAAACAGATCATGTTTCACCCAGTTTGTGTGATATTTTCTCTTTTCCTCATGACTACTCAAAATTTTACGCCAAACTGATGATTTCCTCAGGTGGTATCAGAATTATCAGAACTCAGATTATACTGCTTCGGTCGCACACACTGGTAATTCATCTGTTTGCCTCTCTCAATCATCTTCTCTTGGACCTTGGATCCTTGATTCTGGTGCGTCTGATCATGTTACTAGTAATAAAAATATTCTCTTTCATCTCTACTTCGAATTTCTTACCTACTATAAGTTCAGCCAATGGTTCTCAAACCCGATCTGAAGGGATTGGTACTGTTCAAATTCTACATTCTCTCTTTGTTTGTTACTTTTGTTCTCTATGTACCTAATTGCCCATTTAATTTATTTTTTGACAGTCGTTTAATCCGTTCTCTTGATTGTATTGTCACCTTCACTAACAGTAATGTTACCCTGCAGGATCGGAGTTCGAGACGGACGATTGACGTCGAATGTAAGTCTCAAGGCCTTTATTACCTCTCAGTCTCATCTCTGACATGCTCAGCCAAAGATTCTCCACTCATTATCCATGCTCAGTTAGACCATCCCAGTCTTTCCAAACTACAGAAGTTGGTGTAAGTTTATCGAAAGTGTCTAATTTACATTGTGAGTCGTGTCAGTTAGGGAAACACACTCATAGTCAATTTCCCAATCAAATCAATAAACGAGCTTTGTCCCGTTTTACTTTAGTTCACTCTGATGTTTAGGGTCCCTCACGTACTGTCTCTACTCTTGAGTCTAGGTATTTTGTCACCTTTATTGATGATTTTTCACGTTGCACGTGGTTATTTTTAATGAAAAATAGATCTGAATTCTTTTCTATTTTTGAACGATTTTATAAAGAAATAAAAACTCAGTTTGGTGTGTCTATTCGTACCTTAAGAAATGATAATGCTCGTGAGTACTTATCCAACAATTTCAAACTTTTATATCTAGCAATGGTATTCTCCAACAAACATCTTGTCTCCACACACCTAAATAAAACGGGGTAGCGGAGCGCAAAACTCGACATCTCGTAAAAACCACTCGGACCCTACTTCTCCATTGTAATGGTCCACTTCGGTTTTGGGGAGATGTTGTGCTAACGGCATGTTACCTTATAAATCGCATGTCCTCATCTGTCCTTAACAATAAAATCCCTCATTCCATCCTCTTTTCCAATTCCACCCTGAGTCTTCAGATCCACGTGTTTTGTACACAATCTCTCTCCTGGTCCTTATAAACTATTTGTTTGATCACTAAAGTGTGTCTTTCTTGATTATCATCAATCCCAAAAAGATTATCGTTGTTATTCACATACTCTACAACGATACCAACGTCTGTTGTACCTGTCCTTGAGGTCGTATATGTCTCTGAGGTTGTACATGTCCCTGAGGTCGTACATTTATCTCTCTCTCAATTAAGAGATTTTATTCTTTTAAAGAGATTATAGAACCCCTATGCAAGGTGAGGGAGTATCCTCCTCCTTCCTCCTCTATTTTCCCTCAACCCGCTCTGTTCACCTACCAAACAAATTCGTAGTGCATAGTCAAATGAAAGGAAATTGTCCTACCTAAAGAAAGAAATCAAGCATGCAAGAAATACAAGGGTGTGTTTGTTTTAAGGATTGGAAATATATTCTTAGGAATGTGACATTGGAAACGAAACAATACTATACTTGTTTCAAAATTTAAAAAATTGTTCTCCGATATCTTTTATTTCTAAAAATATTGTTACACATGAAATTTCTCAAGTTTATTCTCATACTTTGAAGGTGGAAATCCAACATTCTCATAGGAATAATGATCAACTAACCATAACTTCCTACTATTACTCATATTTATTTTTTATTTTTAGATATTTTAAATTAAATAAAATTTATAAAAATTTCTGGAATATGTAATTTTTGGTCAAACACTTTCGTAGGAATATTATTCCTAGGAATAATAATCCAGAAAATAGGATTCCAAAAAAAGACATTTCTTAACTTAGAAACAAAAACACCCTAAACATAACCTTAAAATGATGATGTCTTGTATGATAGAGGGGAAAGAAAACCAAATACATTTTCCAACCTACCAGCCGTCTGCTATATGGAATGCTAACTGACTTGGGAACGACGGATTAAGACCAATAGAGTGAATCTCCTTGGGAACAATTTCTGCTTGTGCCTACATAATAATAGGAATGAATGACTTGGCCTATAAAATATTGTATGCAAAAAAATATCGCCACGTAATGAAATCCAGACATTGTATTGCAAACAAAAAGCTTATTGCTGTTAAATAAATACTTTTATTCACTCTATGGTTGTCAACCCTAACACAACAAATATGGAAAATTTATGATATACATATAGAGATATGAGATTTTTAAATGCATCAAAAGCATAGATATGAGATTTTTAAATGCATCAAAAGCATATCCACAAGTAATAACATCAATTTCAGCTGACGCACATGCTTAATAGGCACAGAAAATTTTCAAGAATTAATCTTCGATCGAAAATATATAGGCGCTACGCAAGAAAGGAAGTATTTTTGTCCCATTTAATCTGTAAAAGCAATAGTTATCAACCATACCTTCAAGGATCCAATCTTCTCTAATAATGTTGCCAACTTCACTGAAGTTACTGGTGGATGACATATCTAAAACGCCAAATAAATCACCATAAGATCAATAAATATTGCAAAATATATCTTATAATAACATTTGTCCAAGTCGTGTTTTGTTTAACAAAAGTATGCTACAAACATCAAGAGGTCATGTCACTGTTGGAAATCCACCAATACTTTATGATGAATTTCGACCACCACTGATGATTAGTTATGACAAACAAATAAAAGAACAATGGAGATATTTCTGCAGAATTTCTATTCTGCCCACAAACTGTGGAATCTTTATTATTCACTTTGCAACTGCAAAATACTGTGAATGACTTGATTACAAAAATAGGGGTTACTCCCTCTATTTATAGATTTAGGTTAGCTTGCTCCTTAAGCTAAAACCCAAGCCCAAAATATTTTTTTACTAAATCAAATCTAATCAAATCTATTCTAGATTTAAATTCAAATCTATTTAAATCTAAACAAATCAAATCTTCTTTTGACACATATGAATTACAATTTAACACATCACCTAATTCATTGTGTCTAAACTGTCTATGTTCATCATGGCCCTTAGCTTTCTGAATACTTCGACCTGCACTCCCTTTGTCATGATGTCTGCAATCTGATTCTCAGTTCTGCAGTGTTCCAAATTCATCTTCTCATCTGCTACCTGCTCTCGAAGATAATGGAACCTCATTTTGATGTGCTTACTTCGACCATGTGCTATTGGGTTCTTCGCCAGATTGATAGCTGACATGCTGTCTATCTTCATGGTAATTGCTCCATGATTTTTCCCTGTTATCTCTTCGACCAAGTTCACCATCCAGGTTGCTTGACATGCACAAAGAGAAGCAGTTATGTATTCTGCTTCACATGATGATAATGCCACTACTGGTTCTTTTCTCGAACTCCAAGCAATTGTTGCACCACCTAGCATAAACACATATCCTGCTGTTGACTTTCGATCTTCAACATCACTACACCAACTCGAATCAGTGTATCCCACTAACTTGCATTCTTTTCCTTTATCAATTGCAGGAAACAAAATGTCATAATCGAAAGTTCCTTTAAGATACCTTAGTATCCTCTTCACAGCTGCTAGATGTGATACCTTTGGCTTCTGCGTGAATCTACTTACCATACCTTCTTTCTGTAGAAATCCTTTCGCCACAAGTCTTGCTTTGTGTCGAGTTACTTCACCTTTCGAATTAGTCTTCACTTTGTATATCCACTTGACATCAATTGCCTTCTTGCCTCGGGGCAATTCGACAAGTGACCAAGTGTTGTTGTCTTCGATAGACTTTACTTCTTCGTTCATTGCTTTCACCCACTTCGAATCTTTTAATGTTTCAGCTGCATTAACAGGTTCGACATCTGCATAGAAAGCATAATGTACCAGCTCACCTTCATCATCTATCACATCATCTGATGTAATCACACAATCTTGCAATCTTGCAGGCATGCGTCTTGTTCTTTGAGGTCTGCTTGTACTGGGTATATCTGCTGGCTCCTCTTGTCGAACTTCTCTTTCGACTTGAGTTTCTAGCTCTTCGAATAAGATTCCCACTGAATCTTTCTTGACATTTGCAGTCCAATCCCATTCTTTGAACTCATCTATGATCACGTCCCTGCTGATCACAATCTTCTCGTTCTCTGGATCGAACAACTTGTAGCCTCCTGTCGAATGATATCCAACTAGGATCATTTGACTTGACTTGTCATCAAGTTTCTTTCTCAACTGATCTGGCACATGTCTATGTGCAATAGATCCAAATACTTTCAGATGACTTAAGCTAGGCTTCACACCAGACCAACATTCTTCTGGAGTAATTCCTTCTAGCTTCTTTGTAGGACTTCTGTTCAAAATATATGTTGCAGTCGAAACAGCTTCACCCCAGAACTCTTTGGGTAAATTCTTGCCTTTCAACATACTTCTCACCATGTTCATGATGGTTCGATTTTTCCTTTCTGCAATTCCATTTTGCTGTGGAGTATAGGGTGGCACCACCTCATGCACAATCCCTTCTTTTTCACATAATCTGTCGAAGTCTTTCGACACATATTCTCCTCCACCATCAGTTCTCAAAACTTTGAGCTTTCGACCACTTTGTCTTTCGACCATGGACTTGAACTTAGTAAATACTTCGATCACTTCACTTTTCTTCTTGATCAGGTAAGTCCATAGCTTTCGACTGAAATCATCTATGAACGTAACAAAGTATTTGTTACCTCCCATCGAATCCACCTGGATTGGTCCACATACATCAGAGTATATGACTTCGAGATTAGCCTTCGATCTGCTTCCTGCATCTTTGCTGAAGCTGTTCTTGTGTTGCTTTGCCTGCACACATTCTTCACATACTTCGTTTAGGATGTCAATTTCAAGCAATCCTAAAATCATATTTTTTCTCTTCAAATCTCTGATGTCTCTGAAGTTGAGATGACCTAGTCTATAATGCCATATCCATTCATCTCTGCTAGTTGCAGTCGAAAGGCACTTGTGCTCCATCACATTTAGCTCAATCTTGAAGGTTCGATTCTGAGACATAGGAGCCTTCAAGATTAATCTCCCATTTGCATCAACGACTCTCATCAACTTATCTTCGATTGACACTTTATAATTCTTTTCGACCAACTGCCCTATACTGAGCAAATTGCTCTTCATGCCTGGTATGTACAATACATTCGAAATTACTGACTTCTTGCCATCTTTCCTCATGATCATAACATCACCAATACCTTCAGCTGCTAGTGTGTTGTCATTTGCAAATTTTACCATATTCTTCGTTGAGGGTTTTATATTGACGAACCAGTCTTTCCTTCAAGACATATGTGATGAACATCCTGAATCCAAGTACCATTGGTCCTTGAATCTGTCTTCATCTCTTGTTGTGACCATCAACATCATCTCTTCTTCTTCTTCATGTTTTGCAAGCCTTGCATCAGTTTCTTGATTCTTTCGTTTTTCTGGACAATCACTTGAATAGTGACCATACTTCTGACAATTGTAACATTGAATGTGACTCTTATCAGGTTTTCGACCACCACCTCTTCCTCTGTTTGCAGCACCACCTCTTTGGTTGTCGTGGTGTGGTCTTCTTTGATTCGACACATCTCCTTCGATTTGGTTTCCTCTACCATTCGATTTGTTGTAGCCACCTCTACTTCTGTCGAAATACTTTCCTTTGCCTTTGGTCTCTTTTGCTGAATGTGCCTGCAAGGCTACATCACTCTTCGATTTTCCTGCAGCTCTTTCGTTCATTCTTTGTTCATGAGATTCGAGCGTCCCTTGAAGCTCTTCCTTTGTCAATTTCGACAAGTCTTTCCCTTCTTCGATCGCCACCACTATGTGGTCGAACTTAGGAGCTAAGGATCTCAGGATCTTCGAAACAACAGCTCTTGTTGTTAATGTTTCTCCACATGTCTTGATTTGATTCACTAGTTTTGTAACTCTAGTGAAGAAATCAGATATGTTTTCACTGTCTTCCATCTGAAGCAGTTCATAGGTTCTTTTGTGAGTTTGTAACCTCACTTCTTACACCTTCTCAGCGCCTCCAAAAGACTTCTCAAGGATCTCCCAAGCTTCTTTTGCAGATTCTGAATCACCAATCTTCTCGAAATTGTCTGGGCTGACACATTGATGAATTATAAACAATGCTTTATAACTCTGTTTCTCAGATTCTGTGTATTTCTTCTTTTCTTCTTCTGAAGCGTTTTCGCCAAGCGCTTCGACTCCATCTTTTACAAGGTCCCAAAGGCCTTGACACCTTAATAGGACTTTCATCTGCTTGCACCAATTCTCATAGTTGTCAATTTTCAGAATTGGCAGCGTTGCTGGATAGTTTGCATTCTCATAACTTGTCATCGTGAATTCTTCAATCGTTCTTGATTGATACTTCCCTTGAATCGTAACACAAGCTCTTGATACCAAATGTTGGAAATCCACCAATACTTTATGATGAATTTCGACCACCACTGATGATTAGTTATGACAAACAAATAAAAGAATAATGGAGATATTTCTGCAGAATTTCTATTCTGCCCACAAACTGTGGAATCTTTATTATTCACTTTGCAACTGCAAAATACTGTGAATGACTTGATTACAAAAATAAGGGTTACTCCCTCTATTTATAGATTTAGGTTAGCTTGCTCCCTAAGCTAAAACCCAAGCCCAAAATATCTTTTTACTAAATCAAATCTAATCAAATCTATTCTAGATTTAAATTCAAATCTATTTAAATCTAAACAAATCAAATCTTCTTTTGACACATATGAATTACAATTTAACAGTCACGACATTCAGTATCTATATTATAGATTACAATTCACAAATTCATATAATAGATATTAATGCAGACATATAATTAATTATATAATGATATTTTAATTTTGTGAATTCCAATTTCGGCGATGTAATTTTAACTATATTGGCAGAGCATTGACCCGTGTTAGCTATGCTAATATCAAATATCAAACCTCCATCAGGCTAATTTATCCCCTCGCCTAAGAAGGTGCATGCACCTCTATAGTACCAGGAAAATTGTGATATCCTAGATCAATTGAAAACTGGAACTGGACAACTATATTGTCAATTTACAACATTAGAAAAAATTTGTACCTAACAAGGTAACCTTTAATCAAATACTCCCTCTGTAGCGATTTATAAGCAAATTTGACTTTTTTGGTACATTTGACATTTAATGTATCTAGTCTATATATGGACTAGATACATTAATTATCAAATGTACCAAAAAAGTCAAATTTGCTTATAAATCGTTACGGAGGGAGTAGTGTGTAGACTATATGTTTCAACAAAATCTCAATACTAGAACATTGTTACTTTTCATTAACATACTGATAACATTTTAAAATGAAAAACACGCAGAGGTTTGGCCCTTAGGCGCCATGGCAAGAGGAGCAAGAAAAAACACATAGTACAGAAATAACCTCTTTGTGATTTAGGAATGAAGTAGATGCTCTTCCACCTCGTAAATCCCACACATGCACAATCCCATGCCTCCCAGCACCAAAAACAATCTGGAAAAGGTAGAATAACCGTTCATAATTTCACCAAATATATTATTGACCGAACATAATAAAGAATATGCAGTCTTAAACTCGTTCAAACCAAAACCTGATGCAATTGCAATGGTTATGTTCAATGTAGTCAAGCATGAGATCTTAAGTAGGATCGGCCAGCTGGTGATAGATCGGAAAACTAGGATCGTAGCATGGTGCATAAGATTCTACCGAAGAGAAAATTATAATACATAGACAAAATAACCTATAAATCACAACATTCTACCAATTTAATTAATAATTCTTAACCTTCATTCCATAACTTAATAAGTTCAAAAGATATCATCTTAAGTATTCAAAAGACATAACTGTCATCTTCAAAAGACATAACTGTCATCTTCAAAAGACTAAAATCAAAAAGACATAACTGGTTTTCCACTTAAAATAAACTAGGCTTTTAATAAAAACCCAACCCAGTTAGACAGGCCCAACAAAAAAATACAGCACGTTAAATCTTGCTTCAAAGATCTCAATTTTGAACGCGCCGGTGACGAAAACGATCTGGATGTGATCGCAGCACGCTTTCGCAGTCATGGCAAGTAAGATCGTACGTTCTTACAATCCAGCACTCGATCTTGACCACACTGGTTATGTTAGTGCATTTCTATTGAGGTGGACCAGGAACAGCAAGCTGTTTAGCTAGAATTAAAAATTAAAATTACAAAAATATGGCTCAATTGCATATTTCGTTTACATATTACTAATTTGCATCCCATAAAATATGGCAAAACGACTACCGTGCAACTGTATTGGATTTGTATACTGCTCAGTTAGATCATTTAAGACTTCAACTGCCTAGGATATCTGCTTTGGGCTCATACATAATTAGAGGGAAATGCTAATTTGTGTCTTTAGGGCGCATGTCAAGAAACTTAATATAGATATGTTGTCTTAAAAATTGTGCATTCAATTACTTCGAAGTTTAAAAAAAGCTTTTTTCTATATAAAATTTCTACTTTTGGATTGCTTAACATATCCTTTAAGGCACAAGTTAGCATGCTTATTAAGAACCCCTCGTATATACAGAAGTCAAAACAAGAAACTAGAAATTTGAAAGATTACTTCATAGACTACATAAATAATTCCTGACCTGATTTTCTGCATCTAATTGGATGCTGTTAAGGGTACCAAATGAAGGAGATGTGAGTTCGAGGCAGGGTAGACCCTTCGCTCTTCTATCCCAAACATTAACTGTACCATGCGTATCAGAACCAAATATCCTGTTAAATTTGCTAGCAGATTGAGAACAGCACAATGACAGAAATAATGATGAATTCATAAAATAAAAATCATTATCAAGAGTAAAATCATACTTAGACTCAGCATTCTGGTGCCATCCAGCATGTTAATAGTCTAGTGAAGATATACAACAATATCTTGAAAAAGAAAGAGACTTGAGTATTATGGTGACAAAGTACCACATCAAGTTATATTGAATGCACGGTGGAGTGTTTAAGTAACTCGGTTTTTCTCTAGGACACCTAACTTTTGAGGGCTCTCCAGGTGTGTGTGGATGCTTAACAAATAGTATCAGATCTGGTTGCCAATGTCTCATAAATGCTACCAACGGAGGGGCTGGCCTAAACTAACACAGGTTAACTGTTGTAAACGACATACAGCGCAGTTGCATTATGATTTGGAAAGATATAGTTCTGCATGTGTAACTCATTAAGGATTCATTATGAGATTTATAGAAAACTGTTATCTTCATTTTCGAATACTTCCAAAACCATGAATAAGTTTCCAAAGGATGCAACTTTAAGTTCGAAGTTTGATTTAAGTTGAACATTGGTGCAAATCCTTATTTCTCCCTTTCTCCTTCCTATAATCCTATCCACTTTGTTTATTACGCTCTCACTAAGTTGAAACAAATTAGAATTCAAAGTTCAGACTCACCCCATTTCCTTTCTATTTTTCTCCAAACTTACGGGTTGCAGAGTAGTTTGCTTAAGATTCGCAGATATCCCTGGGAGTTCCTTTATTATGGTAGCCCCTATTGGGCGGTAGCTAATGCTTTTTTGGCATCAGTATAATGCAGCTGTAAGGATGGGATATTCCTCTTCTTTTGGATTAAATGAGTAGCCGCACTAGACATAACATGCATATCTTGGGTACAACTTTGAAAACTAGATATAACATAAGTGTTACAGGCATAGTTGATGAATTTTTGGTTAGTGACAGTGATCAATGTTCTGGAAAGCTAGACAACATTCGAATATCTGCCTAATTTCCGATTGCTTATTTTGTCAGGTTAATCATGTTGAGTAGCATGTGTCCGTCGTGTGACAATCAGTCACAACAAAAACATTGGACAAGTATAGATTAACAGAAGCTTTTTATTAAACCTTTAGACATGTTAAATATAAGAACAGGTAGCATTGTATTAGAAATTCATCATTCCAGATAAGCAAAAGAAACAGCTCCTCTGAATTTAGGTTCACTAACCTCGAATCATTTGATGCAAAAGCAACATCAGAGAGACCTTTGGGTATGTTGGATCCACTAACTGTGGCGGGATTTCTTGTACGTAACTCCTATATCATGCCATTTTAATATGAAAACATTACTTGAACAAGCATTTCTTTACTGGGACTAGCATATATTTTAAAAACACTTGTAATTAGCAATTAGCATATCCCTCAAAATCAGAAAGATGAGGAAAACGTGATCATGTAAAAGATAAATGTCCAACAATATTGAGGGATATTTAGTTTGTACTGTGTTTCTAGGTTCATTTGTTTGGATAAGCACCTACGATGTGAGAAATGTGTTGCATAGTTTTAGTTAGGTGCCACCTTATTAGGTGTAACATGCTATTTTAACAAAAAACAAAAATGTAGTAGACAGAGCACTACTGAATAGTAATGGCATAATGCACTAAGAAAATGATATCAACCTGAATGTGAGGGAGCAACAAGTATCAACAGTAAAAACAAAATGTTTTCGATAGAAAATAGCAGGGCATAATAATGTGAACAGAAGCTAGATTCTACAGGAAGTACAATAAAAATATTATAATGGAAACTTACATCAATTGGTTCTGACATCATATATGCAACATCAAATACGAGTAGTACATTACTATTCATAGAGGCACAAAGAACCTGAAGAAAAGGGTAAAGTTTAAATTGAAGGGAAAATGAAATGTTACTTTGCTTGGAACAACAAAATAATTTTCATGAATCATGAATTTGACAAATTGCATGTCTCGTTCTTCTTCCAAGCCTGCCATCATAATAAACATAAAATCACTGAATTTAAACCTCATTCTGGTCAAGAGGATTCCATTTGACAACATCAAGTTGGTGATCAGGTGAGAGGTGCAGTAAAAGTTTGCTCTGGTCTTCTTGCAAGCCTGCCATCACAATAAACATAAAAGCAAGTGTAAACATAAAACAATCACCATTATTGCATTTAAAATTTCTCCCCGCCCAATGATAAAACAAAAACAAAAAAAAAAGCTAACTAAGAAATAAAACGCCAAGAATAAGAGCCAAAATGGGAGCTCTGGGTGCTTTTTTCTTACTCTCCCGTAGGCATGGTAAAAAAGTAGGAAAATCCAAATCAATAATATGTTCTCAAAGTTTTGAAAGAAAATTAAATTCTCATTTTTGAAACACAACAAACCGATGGATTAAAGGTCACATTCATTTGCTGCCTAAAGACACAATAGAAAGCCAACGCAAGAAATAGGAATATTGATCGTGGGACACTTAATTCTAGACTAACTCCCCAAAAATCTGAGTCAATAGTTTGGTCAAAACTCAAAAGATAGAGATTGAAATTAATACTAAATGAAACTATGAGTTTCACAGCATTAGTTTAGAAAACAAAATGTAGCTACTAAAGCCGTACTTACAAGTTAATTTGTTTGTCCGGCAATAAAGAGCTTCAAAGTCATGAACTGTTAAGCAACCTGATTTCGTGACAGACGCCAAGTATATCCCCTAGAAAAATTTAGAAATAGGGTGGGAAAAAACAGAGAAACTAATCAGCTTTATCAAATTAGTGTATTCCTCACAATGAGAAAAAAAGATACTCACACAAGCATTTTGGTGACTTACCATAGACATGCATCCAAGAAATATAATGCATTCTTAAAAAAGTGTCGCAAAAGACATTAATCAGAGGATGGACATGCCTCATACATGTGAAATTAGTATCACACTCATAAGTTAACCCAAATACGCTACCAACTTTTTCTATTATCATCTACCAATTGAATTACCTTGTTGTCAAAGTCTACAGAAGTTACACCGTTCCTGTTAACAAACAAAAGTGAGACGTTTGTAAAGAGAGTTCACTAGAAACATGTAAGATAATACAATATGAATGGAACATTAGATGCCCAAGAGCTCATGTCATTGCTAACTACTACCTTGATTATTTTCCTAGGAAGAATAAACAAATCAATTACACACAATTCTGTTTTACAATATTGTCATAACTAGGAAGTATGGAGTAATAGCCATATACCAATCTCAAGTTGGTTAAAATATCAATCTCCGTGTAGCTGATTAGGTTTTATTGATTACATGTTGCTCTATAGCTAAAAAACTAAAACCGCAAGAGTGGCTATTGTAATAATAAATTTGTGTAAAAAGGTGTGAACTTTTACATGATTGTCCCTACAATTAAAGATATAATAATACAGAAAATCCAAATTCGTGTTTCCCAAATATGAAATTAATACATTGTTGTAAAGAAATCATTAACGCATGTTAAAGTTTGAAGAGAGTCATATATTAAAGGACAGCAAATATATAAACCGGGTCTTATAATTAGGGACAAAGAGTAGTTATTTTTATTTTCTCACACTTGATTTTAACCTTTTTTTTAATGCGCACTACAAACCACCACCACCAAAGCTACTTCCATCAACACTACCACTACAAACACATCATGTCTACTGCATCACCGATAGTATCTTTGCCAGCACAACTACCCCATATATTGTTGGCAAAACAAGTTTACTCAATATGCTTCCATCTAACTTCAATTGAGAAAGGACAACTTAGCCTGTTCTAAAAATGAGTTAGTAAAGTAAACAAACCTATTTTATAGTGGGATGATAGACTAGGAGACTTAAACAAACAAGGTATTACAAAGCTCAAAACATCTTTTTGAGACTTGCCCGAAATATCCTCTCAACAAGGTAAAAATTGGGAAATAAAAAGGAGTTGTCCTCCCCTCTTTGATTCATGTGTCATCGTGCACAGATATGAGAGCTTGGCTGCTTCTGTTGCTTTCTGCATCTGATATTCTAGCCCAGCAGTTTTTTTTTAATACAGTGTGGAAGACTTGGCAGCAACAGAACCAATGTGTTTTTGAAAACTTTAAAAACACTAGTTTTGATTATTTAGTGGTCGCAAATTTGGCATTTGCGAATGTTGAGGATTTCAACAGGGCAAAAGGAAAAATGCCATCCATTTCTGTCATAGCTAAGAGATCTCGTCCTAATTTTGGCATTAGTAAAATAAATGTTGTTCCAGGTTCCTTAGTAGAAGGGATACTAGGTTGAGGAATGCTAGCTAGGGACCATACTGGTGCATCCAAAATATAACTTTCATGCAAAAAATATAAAATCTATCAAACAGACTATTTACTCCTCCTTTAATATTACATTAAAAGGAAAAGTCAATCAAAACATTACCTTCTTCTATATAAAAGATTACCCTCAGTATGTGCCTCGGTGAGCATTTGATTAATCTGTATCACAAGCCCCAAAATAATACATTAAACTAAATCATCTTAATCAAACTATAAACTAAATGATCATATCATACATTAGAGGAGCAAATTGTCCCATTTTCCCTACTATACACATGCTGAAAAGATCCAACCTGCACGTAATTTTATAATACGATCAAAATTACAGCAAACCAATCAAACCCTGTCAACCAGAAAAACCAAACCCACACAAACCTCAGAATACGAACGCATAAGCAAGTTCATCATCTCATGACGATAGTTCGCCTCAAATTTCCCATTCAATTCAACCAAACTCGTCTTCCAACGAAACCTCCAGTTGTAACATACACAAATCTCAACAACATTGCAATTCACATAAATAAACTACAAACTAAAAACAAATTTACCTAAGAGGAAGCTTTATCCGTTCTCTACAAGGCTTTTTCGATGCCAAATACTTCTCCATTTTTGCACGCTCTCTGCAAATACAAGTTCAATAAAACCTCAAAGCAAAGAAAATTTTGCAGTAAAACAACCATTTCTAGAACATCGTTATAATTTTCCCGCCAATTTAATGGGTCGAAAAAAACAAGTAATAATTGGGCCCAAACAAACAAACCCAGCCCAAATAATTAAATTATTCCAAAATATTAAAAAAAATAATGTAATATGTATATTGTGTGTATATTATAGTAATTAATAATTAAAAATGTATATTATATAGTTGTAAATTGTCAAATTAACGGAATAAAGAAATAATAGGCAAGATCGATTTTAGGATGAAACAAGGAATTTCATTTGATTTAAGATAATATAGCAAGATGCGATTACATATAGAAGATGAAACCCTAAACATGAAATTTAAACTAAATTACATAAATAACCTGAAGTCCTCTCGCCTCTGATCCTACGAGCAAGCTGAATGTCCTTGGGCATAATGGTAACCCTCTTGGCGTGAATGGCGCAGAGGTTAGTGTCCTCGAACAAGTCAACCAAGTAGGCTTCAGCGGCTTCTTGGAGGGCTGAGACAGCGCTGCTCTCGAAGCGGAGATCGGTCTTGAAGTCTGTTATATCCCAAAATTTGCCTTCTCATTTGTCAAGTATTTGCTCACAAGATATTCTACGACGTCAAGTTTGCAACACTGATACATCAATTTAGGCTTGAAATTGGCACAAGGGCAAAATGGTCAATTGCATACTAGAAAGTCAAACTTTGACTTTTTGGTCAACATTACGTTCCAAGGATCAAATTTCATCAAGACATTCAAAAATATAAAACTTGATCATCAAGGAATCAAGAAAGTCAAAAGTCAATGTGAAAGTTCAAACCCTTCAAGACTTAGAAATTTTCTAAGTGTTTTTTATACATGATAATCTCATTTCTTCATGCCAACTTTTCACCTTGATGCAAGATGATTCAAGAGAAGCTTCCAACATGAAAGTTGTAGGTCTCCATGATATCTACAATATTTCTTTACACAACTTCTCTTAAATATGCTTGGATTTCAGGTTATAAATTCATGAAGTCATGACATTTTCATTTAAGCACTTAGAGAAATCTTCAGTAGTTTTGGTCAGGTTTTTAACCCAACTTCTTGGCCAATTTTCATCAAGTTCCAGTTTGATTTAACAAAAGTGGTCAACATGAAAATTATAAAGGGTGTTTCAAGCTTTCCAAAATATCCAAGAGCATGAATTTATCATATTTGAGCTAGGAGATACAAGAATCTGAAGTTGGACATTCATTCTTGATTTACAAGGCAGATTTGTGATGAACACTTGACTAAAATTCTAACCAAAGTTATAAGTTCTCTCTTTTAAGGCTATGTTCTCTCCAAATCTATGCATAATCAAGCAATTACACAAATCCTAAGTGTATTACACAGGCATTTGAAGCTTTGTCCAAGTCTTGATATCATTTATGGTTAGAAATGCAAAAAGCAACATTTCCATTTGCATAAAGCTTCACTTTTCCAACCACTCTCTTCTTTCAAAGCTTGAAATCTATTCCAAAGATGACAGAAAAATCTCTCAACAGCAGAAGCAATCTACAAGATCTGCAAAGCATGGCTAAAGTTCCTGAATTCACTCCTTTCTTCATCATAAAGCAACTTGTCTTTATGAATTTAAAAAAGGGCATAACATGTGATTTTCAAAAAGTCTGAGTTTCTCAAGTCTCAAACCTTCTCTATAAATAGATAGGCCAGTTGCAAGATAAAGGAGTTGGAAAAAGGTTAGAAAAAATAGAGAGAGAGAACAAAGAGAACAGCCAGTAGTTTTATTGATAAACCTTCAAAAAAAACCATAACAGTCCCTAAGACTTCCACTCTTGAGTTTTGAAGTCTAAACCTTAAAACCTCTCACACTTTGCATATTCCATCTAAAAACCATCCAAACATTTCATACCACACAGAGGTTGTTTAGTAACCTTCAACAAAAAGGAAAGTCTAGCAGCCTGTTGGAGCTTCCTTGAGGTTCATACAACATCTTGAAGGGTATTTGGTTTCAAAACCTAAAGTGTAGTTTTAAGGTAAGTCATTTTTACCTTGCCTTTTCCATACATCAATTTTTCTGTTTATAGGATGTAGCAATCACTATTTTTGAAGTTAATCTTTATTTATTGTTCATTCATATGTTAAAAACTAGTTGATGTATGCAAAGAATGGTGTTTAAGGCAGGAAAATGCAGTATGTATCGACACGTATCCACATGTGTCGACCCATCTTATTGAAAATATATGGTATGAGTCAACACATGACCCTCATGCATCGACCCATACTGAGTTCAGGTCATAAAACAGCAACTGGAAAGGACTATGAGTCGACACATATGCATTTCGCGTCGATGCAAAAAGGTGCATGAGTCGACACATCCCATTATGTGTCGACCCATACTGAACAGATTTCACTTTACAGAAACTGGAAAAGCCTATGAGTCGATACATATGCATTTCGCGTCGATACAAGAAGGTGCGTGAGTCGACACATCCCATTATGTGTCGACCCATATTGAACTAATTTTGTTTTACAGGGGCATGGAAAAGCTATGTGTCGATGCATAGCAGCATGGGTCGACACATAGTAGTTCAAAATGAATTTTTCCTTTATTCTACATTATTTTCACATTCTTTTCATTATCATTTGATGTGGTTGTAATATTTTAGTTCCTACTTCATACCTATTTGTTAAATTGTACCCTCATCCCCCTAAAGTGATGTAATAGCTTAGATTTTACTTTCCGCCTTTTACTTGCTTTTCATATATTGCTAGTAAATAAGTGTGTATGGCAAGATAAAAACAACAAAATAGGCCACCCTAATCAAAGACAAAATGCATGCAATCAAACACACTTTGCACACATGCACCCTTAGGGTAATTCCACTTGTTGCCTATCGGAAAATAGTCATGTCCCTCGAGCATGGGCGTTTTAGCAAAAGACCCTCGATAAAAGATCGTAGTCCCTCGATGACCCTCGATGTTGCCTTCGGTAAACGATATAGTCCCTAAAACGACATTGCTAAAATGTCTCATATGTTGCCTTCTATAACTATACAAACGTCCCAACGCCCGTCCCTTCACATCCAACGATGGGGCTTCTTACCAAATCGATGGTAAGATAGCCACATCTAAAGGAAGAGGAAAAGCACATCTAAGACCTTTTGAGTAGATAGATTCGCTCTTAGTTACTCGCTTGCTCACAACAAAAACATTTTTACCCACACTCTCACTTTTGAACTATTTTCGAAACAAACACTTTGTAGGCGTTCTTATATAAATAAGAACCATTACGAAGTTCCATTTTCAAAATACTTTCAAAAACACATCTCACAAACACACCTTTGAACTATTTTCGAAACAAACACTTTGTAGGCATTCTTATAGAAACGAGAACCATTAAGAAGTTCCATTTTCAAAAATACTTTCAAAAACACACACCATAAGCATATTCAAACAAAAGCAAGTGATCTAAGCAAGTAAATAAGAGCCCATGGAAAACCATGGATGAAAAGGGTGTTAATACCTTCCCTTTTCATAATCTACCCCCCGAACTCAAAAACATATCTAAAGGTCTTTCCTGTGCTTTTTCACCTTTCCTTTTTGTATAAAAGAAAAGTCGGTGGCGACTCTTGCTAACCGCGACATTTGCGATAAAATGCAAAAACCTCAAGTTAGTTCTCCTACCAAATCACAAAACTAGCGACTCTGTTGGGGATAATTTATAAAAGTGGGGTTACCTTAGGGATAGATCACATCTACTTGCTTACGTTGTTTGATTTATATGATTTACATTATGGTTCTTTGTTTGAGTTTGAATCTTCTACCCGGATTTGGGATACCTTATAGGTAAGTAGCAATACGTTATGGAAAATGTGCGGGGTATACCAACATGGTCTAAGCAATAGCTACGTTAGTGCGACATATTTGTGGGTACCGATATCCTTTGAGTTAATCAAAGAGAATACGGGGCCACTGAGTGATGTCATGAAACATTAATGAACTTCTAGAACCCTTTACTTGACCAACTTGGCCTTTTTAGGATGTAGTGAGATGACCGGCTTTGGTGCAGTCCGAAGTTGGTAGATACTCAATACTACACTCATTGAGGTTTGGTTTCTTGGGATATTTCGGTCGCCATTAAAGAGGCTTGAGCTGAAACAATGACCAAGGAAACAATCTGGTGATATTGAGCTCCTTAGAACTCGGTTACTATTGCTATGATAGGTTTAAGCCAACTAAACTTCAAGAGGGTACTTACCTATAAAACCCATGCAAGCCTAAAACTAAGGACTTGTTTGCTTTGTGTGAATATGATTATTTGTATATAAACTTGCTTACCTCGCATATCTGTACATAACATCATAACATTATACCATAGCATTTTCAGTAACCATTTCAAGGATCTCGAGGGTCTTTGATGCAGGGTCACGTTGAACCAGATGTCTATCAAGGGGCAAGAGGATTTATTTTCCTCTGACCAAACACCGTCAAAGATCAAGAACAACAAACTTGAGTCAAGGGCTATGACCCACTTGACATGGTGAGCTTAATTCTCGTGGAAGGACATCCACTGATACAAAGTTCTCCAATCAAAGATGTTGATCAAAATTCAATCTCTAAACTTTTTCTTGTGTTTACCCCGCGAGATCCTTGAAAACATGCATCCACATATCATGCATCATATCACGACAGGTTTCTCCCATACAAGTCTCCTTATCTTCCTACTGTTTATTTCAGTAGAGATGGCTCTAGAGCAGCCTATCAAGGACATCCAGGCTCAAAACGCTCAACTTCAAGAGATGTTCTTGAACCTGTCCAAGGGGCAAGAAGAGGTGAAGGCCCTCCTCACAAGGGGGATGGTCATCAAGAATCCAGAGGACACCAAGGATGATCAGTTGGAAAGGATACAAATTGAAATGGCAACAATGAAAGTCCAGATGATAGGACAACTGGTGGGCCAGATGGCTCT